GGTTCGGGGAGGGTTCACTAACGTTCTCCGCGTCTGTTAGATGTCTTTGTGCATCCTGGGGGAGGGCATCCTCGGTGGCTCTCCAGTCTGGGCCGGCAGAGGATCTCATGTCCTTGGGGGATGTTGTTAGTGCCCAGACATGCGACGTCCTGGCTTCTTCAATTCGCGGTCCCCAGATGTCGCGACCCTTTCCCAAGGGCCGGTTTTTCATCCCGAGTCGTTTTCTGACAGTCCCAGGGCCCGGTGAGGGCCCCCAAAGGTAGAGAATGGCCAGAAACCTCCCGTTGTGAGTTGTTTAACGGCGCGATCAGGTTTTACTAGGGGAACGAAGAATGACATAAACACAACAAATCAGAGGTCCGCGCTGATTTCTCGGATCGGCGCTGGACCCCCCCCCCCGATCCCTGGCGCGCGGAGCGCGCCAGGGGCGGCGCCGGAGGCGCCGCCGAGGGGGGTCCAGCGCAGCTCCGAGAAATCCGCGCTGACCTCCGAGTTCTTCTGTTTATTCAGAGCGTGAACCTACCCCGCTTTCGCTTCCAGGCAAAACCAAGTCATACCACGCGCCTCCTCGTCAAGCGGCCTGACCAGTACGGGCCGTAGTTTGGCATCGCTTGGTATCTCTTGGAAGCGAGGGTGGTCAAAAGCGAGGTAGGTTTGTTTGCCCCTTATTACGACTGCACGCTCTCGGTCTGCGTGGTTGAGCTCCGTGTCGGTGCGCTGCGTTTTTTGCGCGCCGCGGGGCAGGCAGAGGCGCCGGGCGCCCCCCGCGGCCGGGGCAGAGCGCAGGGCGCCGCGCTCCTCCAGCGGCGCCTGGGCTCGAGTCGGGCGCGTCTCTGCCGGAGGAATGGATAGAAAGATATGCCCAACAAGCCAACGTGGCCGTGTTTTTTTAGGTTTTTGCTTTGAGATCGGTTTCCTCTTTGCTCGTTCGATGTTTGTCGACGATGTTCAGGAGCAAATGGTCTGGGGACGATTGTTCCTATGATTTTTGACCATGCTTGTTTTTTCTTCTGATTCCAAAATCCGCCTGTAGGAGGACACGCCCGACCTAAGCCGGGGCCTCCCAGGTGGGGTCCGAGCAGGTGGGATCGGAGGATCACGCTGCGTCGACGATGCATCGGCGAAGCGGCTCGATGCGGAGCGGGATTTTCTCCACGCCGACGTCGCCGATGCGTCGCCGATGCGTCGCCGACCTCGGCGATGCATCGCCGATGCATTGGCGATGCGGCGCGATCCTCCGACCCCATCTACTCCGACCCCATCTAGGAGGCCTTTAAAGGGGCAAGTCGGCGGTGAGCGAGGGGGGGGGGGAATGAGGAGGAGACGGCCTTCTCAGAAGGCAATGGGGCTCCTCAGAATGTCTCCTGCCGTCTGGGAGGCCTCTCGGCGTGTCTTCGGGGGAAGGTGGGAACACGTCCCGGAAGGCCAGGGGACTTCCGAGCCTTCTGAGAAGGCCCGCCCCTTCTCACTTCCCCCCCTCGCTCGCCGCCGAGCAAGGTTCGGGGGTAGGTACGGTCGGGAACTCTGAGCATCGGTGCTGGATCTCCGCGTGGCGATGCGATGTGTGTGAGTTCGTCAGTTGTTGCGGAGTTCTACGAGGACCTCTACAACGACAACGCCGACAGAAGCAACGCTAGCAACCAGAACGACGAACAAAATCACCAATCTGGCGCAATCACATCATTTTTCGGCTGACGAGCCAGAAACCGCCTTGCGCCAACTACTGTACGGTCCAAACGGCGCGGTGACCACACCGTGTGGTGAGTCAGTGGGTCATGCATCGGAGACCTAGAGGTTGACACCAACACCAATATCGGCGATGTGCCTCCACCGAGGTAAGATGATCCCGATCTCGGTGATGCTGGCACTATTCGGGCTTCCAAGGTGGCCGAAATATCACCAACAAGATCTAGGATCATCCTCCCCTGGTGGAGGCAACCCCCTGTTCTGGTGTTGGTGCCCATTTCCAGGTCTCCGAATGCAACTTCTCAGAAGGCGCGAGGGTTTCTGAGAAGCCCCGCCGCCTTCTGACAGGGCCTGCCCCCATCTCACTTCCCCCTCCGGGCGCGCCGCCGATCGTTCTCCGAGGGTGTCTCGCCCCAGCGGAGGGCTGGCAGAAGGCGGCGGAAGCAGAAGTGAGGCGGTTCCGCGGGCAGACGCCGCCAGAACTCAAAGACGATGTCCCTCCCTCGGGGCTTAAGAGACGGGGGTCAGCGCAAACGGGGGTCAGCCAGAGCGCCAGATCTTGCAGGATCCTGCAGAGGCCAGGGTCGCACTGACTCGGGCTTGGGCGCAGGATCCTGCAGGATCTTGCAGGATCCTTCGCATTGATCCGGACTTGGGTGCAGGATCTTGCAGGATCCTGCAGGATCCTGCAAGGCACTACTGACCCGACCCGGGTCGTTCCCCGACTCCCGAGATATGACATTTTTTCCCAACCCTTTTTGGTTGGGTATTCGTGTTGAATAGAGGGGTGTGGTCGCGTCCTCCTCCTTCAGCC